CTGACGCATGTGACGTAAACACTCTGAGGCCACCGCAGACCACACCCTCCGGTGCGGGGGACGCTTCCTGGGTCAGCCACGTGCCGGGTCATAAAAATGTCTCGGCAAAGTCTGAAGGGTCGAAACCATACAGAGTATATCCTCTGACTACCGAATTTGAATTATACGATATCTGGAAAATCCTCAAATGTTTGGAAATTAAATAATATATGTGTCAAAAAAGATGTCACAAAGGAAAATAAAAATTATTCAAGTTGAACAACAGTGGAAATATAACTTGTCAACGTTTCACTAAAGTGGTGCTTACATGAAAATGTACAGCCTCTAATCCCTACAGAAAAAAGAAGAAAGGTTTAAAACTAAAACCCAAATTTCTACCTTAAGAAGCTAGAAAATAATGAGCAAACTGAACTCAAAGTAAGTAAAAGGAAGTAAATAACAAAGAGCACAGATCGGTGAGAGAGAGAGAGAGAGAGAGAGCGCAGCCAGCAGGGGAAATGAACACGGCTAAAATGTGTTTGTGGAAGGTGAGTAAAAACTGACAAGTCTCTAGCTGGACAGAACACAAATAAAAGAGAAGACACATTAATTAATATTTAGGAATGAAAGAGGGGCAATCACCACATATCCCAAAAGATAAGAAAGATAAGAAAATATTAATAAATTTGTAACAATAAATTTCACAAGTTAAATTAGATAGAAATGCTTCAAAAATACAACTTATCAAAATGACTCAAAATGAAACGGAAAATCTGAGTAGCCCTGTATCATTCACGGAAATGGATTCGTTAAAAGCCTTCCACAGAGCAGGCCAGGCTCTCAGCCCTGTGAAGCCTGCGCTCTGTCCTTTGCTGGTCGCTCTATTTCCAGCTCCCAAACTCGTGTCTGCCACCCCAGCAGGTGCTCAATGAACGCCGACTCACGCATGAATGGCTATTTTTCTTTAAACACATTCTATGAGCAAAATGTTCCCTGATCGCTATGTACAAGACAGAACGCGTCCCCTCCACTCCGCTCTTCAGTCCTCAGGTGTGGTTTACTTGTCTCCACGACGTCCCCTTCCGTCGGCATGTTTGCAGTCAGTCGTCTGTCTACCTCTCTCTCTCTCTTTCTGTGTGTCTCTCTGTGTCTCTGTCTCTCTCTGTCTCTGTCTGTCTGTCTGTCTCTCTCCATCACAATGCGAGCTCCATGACAGCGAGGTCTTGGTGTGTTTTATGAACTGTTGTATCATGGGGTCTAAAACTGGGCATCTTGGAATCTATGAGGCCGTCAGTCAGTGTTTCTTAAACCCTATGGCTAAGGTCGTAAAATTAGTTTACCCCTTCATAGACTTATTTTACTTTTTACCTGCTATGTCACCACGAAAGGGCCACGATAAGTCCAGATAACCTTAAAATTATAGTAATAACATGCAATCCTGTTGCTAAGCCTTTTCTACCTTAAAAGCTATTCTACCTATTAAAATTAAGCAAGTGTCATGAAGATAAGCCATATTCTGGGCCATAAAACATACCTTACCAAATTTAAAAGAACAGAAATCATACAGTGTCTGCTCTCAAAATCATACAGTGTCATTTAAGAAACGTTGCCGGAATTAAACCAGAAATCGTTTACAGAAAGACACCTGGAAAACCCCCAAATACCTGCAGATTAAACAACACACTTCAAAATAACACATGGGTCAAATATTTTGAATATTTTGAATTGAATAAAAATGAAAGCATAACTCATCAAAATTTGTGGGATGCAGCAAAAGCAATACTCAGAGGGAAATTTATAGTATTGAAAACATGTATTAGGAAAAGGATTTAAATCGTTAATCTGAGTTTCCATTTTAGGAAACTATAAAAAATAAATTCAAAGTAAGCAGAAGAAAAGGAATAAGAATTAGAGCAGAAATCAGTGGAACTGAAAACAGGAAATTGGTAGAGAAAAATCAATGATACCAAAAGCTGGTTCTTTGAAAAGATCAATAAAATTGATAAGCCTTCAGTCAGGCGAACCAAAAAAAAAAAAAAAAAAAAAAAAAAAAAAAGGACACACAGCACCAAAATCAGAAATGCCAGAGATCACCACAGCTCCCACGTGCACAAAGCGTGACAAAGGGACACTATGACCAGCGCTGCACACCTGAGTCTGATAGCCTAGATGAGACAGAGCGATTCCTTAAAAACAATCTGCAAAAACTTATGAAGAAAAAACAGACAATTGGAATAAGCCTATATGGATTAAAGAAATTAAATCAATAATTAAGCTTACAAAGCATGAGGCCCAGATGGGTTCACTGGTGAATTCTACCAAACATTTAAGGACGAAATGATACCAATTCTCTATAGTCGTGGAGGAAATATATCCTAACTCGTTCTCTGAGACCAGAATTACCCTAATACCAAAATCAGACAAAAACATTCTAAGAAAGCTACAGACCAATATCTCTCAAGAACATATAGTTGCGAAAATCCTCAGCAAAATGTTAGCAAATCAAATCCAATAATGTATAGAGAAAATTAGACCCACAACCAAAAAGAATTATCCCAAGTATGCAAGACTGGTTCAACATTCAAAAACTCAATTAAGCCAGCACATAAACAGACTAAAAAGGAATAAAAAAAAAAATCACATTGTCATATTAATAGACAAAGAAAAAACACTTAACAAAATGCAATACCCATTAATGGTAAAAACTGTCAGTAAACTCGGAACAGAGGAACTTCCTCAGCTCGATAAGGAGTATCTACAGAAGCCTCCAGCCAACATGGTACTGAATGGTGAGACGCATGAAGACTTCCCACGAAGACCAGGTGCAAGTTCATCTCCTCTCGCCCCTTTCAACATCACTCTGGGAGTGCGGCTAATGCCATGAGACCAGAAAAGGAAAGGAAAGGTATAGGGACTGGGAAGGAAAGAACAGAACTGCCTGTTCACAGGTGACACGATCGTCTCTTAGCAAACCCAAAAGAATCAACAAAACCCCTGGAACCAACGGGGATACGAGGTTAATACACAGAATCAACTGTTTTGCTACATACCAGCCATGAACAAGCGGCATGTGAAATTAAAGACATAATACCATTGGCACTACCCCCAAATGAAATACTTAGGTATAAATCTAACAAGATACGTACAAGGCCTATGCAGGAAAATGACAGAACTCTGATGAATGAAAGCAAAGTAGAACTGAATAAGGTTTCTGTGAACCAAATTTGTTTCTGCCTCAGAATTTGAAATTCTGGCAGTCGATGTTTAATTCGTTCTCCATAAACCCAAATGCATTAGGACTAAAAAGGGACAGCGGACAGTTACCTGGTGGAACGTTTTGGAGTCGTTCCTATTTTAGTGATAAAACTGAAAAAAAATGACCAGGCACAGGAGTCGTTTCTGTTGCAAAATGTGGGCGGGCGGGTTGCCGAGGGGGCGGGGGGTGGCGGGCGGGCGCTCACCTTGTTGAAGACCCAGATCTCCCCGTTGACGGTGGGCCGGGGCACCCCGTGGCCGTTGTAGTGGAAGAGGACCCGCTCCTCCTTGGCATTCCGGCGCAGGGACGTGCACAGCTTCTTCACTTCGTCCACGGTCGGATCGAGGCTCTGCTTGTACCGGGCCTGTGGCAGGAGAAATGGGTGAGAGACGTGCTGGGCCTGCGGGGACACCTGGCCCACGTGTGCACTCCGTCCTCAGCGCCGCGTCCGCCTTGCCCAGCTGCGTGACCCGGGACAAGCGACCCCGAGTCTCGTCGTGTATGAAACTGGGATGAGAACTGCTTCACGTGGTGGTCGGGAAAATTCACTCACTCAACGAGCATTGTTTGAGAAGCCCCATGAAGGCCACACGAGATAAAGGGCAGCCTGCCACATGCCACGCAAAGGAAACGGGCTGCGCTTGGCACGAAAAGAGCTCTCACAAGCCCCACGTCCTTCTGAAAACACAACCTGGAACATGGAAGAGACAATTTGCTAAAAAATGAAGAACAGTTAAAAAAAAAATGAAGACAGAAAGAAAACAAAGGGGTTCTGTGTCTGTGTCACGTCTGCCCTGTGGCTCCCCTCCCGCCACTCCTGCCTGGGCTGAGCCGAGGAACGTTAAGGACTCGCTGAATCAGCAGGACCTAAAAGTAATGCACACAAATCAACAGTCTTTATACAAACGACAAACGGTCGCGGCACCAACTGCACGGAACTCCCACTTATGAAGCGACAAAGGTGAAACGCGTAGGCATGAACTCAAGCAGAGATGCACGAGTCCCAGCCAAGGAAGCTTCACCCGCCTGGACGGCCCAGCAGCAGGCCTGAGCACCTGGGCACCGTCCGCTGCAGGGCAGGACGCCCGTGCTCCCCAGGCTGACGGACAAGTGCAACGCATCCCCAACACGACGACACGCTGTGTTGTGGAGTCAGGCAGGTGCCACTTTAGTTCACGATGGAAATAAACAAGCCAGAGCAGCCAGGAAAACACCGATGAGGGAAAACCAGGAGGAGGCCTGGCCCCCGCCCCGGACACCGAGCCTCCTGCGGGACGAGGTGGGGGGTCCGGAGAGGCCAGTGGGCCAGAGGAGCTACTGTAAGGCCCAGACCTGAAGCCGAGCACGTTTCCTGGCCCCCGGGTGACCAGCGGTTCACGGTCGCGACGTCATGGACACTGACTTCATTTCACTGAGAGCCATGCAGACTGCAGGACAGCTGCGTGGGGGGCGGGCGGCGTGCAGACAGCGCGGCCGGGACGGGGGAGGGGGCGACGCCCGTGCGCTCATCAGCAGTCTCCCTACTTCATGGTCACTTCTCTTTGTTTGGTTTCAAAGCCCTTTTAACGGTAAATGCCCAACCTAAAAGGACCAAGAGCAGAACTGCACCCACACCGGATGTCACGGAAGGAGCAACGCGAGCGAATGCACGGAAGCCGCGCCAGGAAGGCAGCGGAGACGCCGACGCGCCCGAGCCCATCGAGCACAGCACAAACACATAAGCCCTTTAAAGATACGGCGTGTCTACCAGGAGGGCTTGCCTCTAGGTGGGGACTGTGTTCTGGTTTTTAAAAATGATGTACATGTTTAAAAACGATGTTTATCTGTTTTTTTGATAAACTTTTAAAACCGTATTGAAAAAGTAAAGTGAAAACCAATAAGCCCCGTGCTGCGAGGCCCCTGCAGAGGACATGGGTGGGCAGGGGGCGTGAGCAGCGAGAGGTGGCACCTGAGGCCACGGCTCCCTCAGAGGGCCGGGCGCCCGGCACGGCCTCGCACAGCACGCGCTCAGGAAGCACAGCCTCCGAGACTCCGAGTGCACCTATCTGCACGGGCTCTGCTGCGACATCCACAGCTGCCGAGGGACTGTCACCATTCACTGACATTGATTACAATAATCGGTAATGAAACAAATCAAAACGACAAATGCCATACGCATGAAATCACGCGTCCGGGCAGGTGCTCAGATGTCGGTCAACGCTTCTCTCTACGTTGGTACCTGGAATTCTGCATAGGAAAGTTACGAAAACGATACAGAAAAACTGGTAAACTGCTTGTGCGTGTTCTGGGTGAGACAGAAACAAGGCACTGAGTCTTCAGCTCCAAATGCCCGCCCTCTGGCTAGTCGCAGAATACAAGATGAGGGTGCTTGATAAATGACAACCCAGTTCTGGGGACACAGAAGGGAACATTTCACTAAGACGCTGTGACTTTGGACGCACGCCCTCCTCACCCGCACCCCATGAAACTACACCTCAGGCTTCCCCGGTGGCTGATGAGAGGAACTTTCTCTTCACAGAGAATCCTGGTGGCAGAAAGGAGGCCGAGTCACATACTGTCTCCCTCTAATCTCTAACGATGGATCCGGGTACCACACAGGAGATGACCGGCCGACGTGGCCATCCTAAAGGAGGCAGACCAGCTAGACGACTCTGTGCCCCCGAACACTCCCTCCCATAGGGCCGAACCTGGCCACGCCTCTAGATTCGCCAACATGCTGGGGCAAGAAGGCGGGGGTAGGGGGCTGGCAGCGATGGCGAAGCCCAGACCACGCCCCGGCTTCTTCAACCAGCAGGCAGCAGGAAGGGACGCTGACTGGCGAACTGTGTGGCTCAGGCGGGACGCCGCCGTTTGGGTTAATTATGCGGATCTGAAGGGTACACAGGCCCGTCACGGTGCGGTCCCCTTACTCGCAAGTGTCCCGAATCGATGCACAAGCTCCGAGTGTATTTTTTAAAGTCGTAATTATCTCTAGAGATACACTGAAATATTTACGGATGAAATTATATGATGTCTGGAATTTGCTTCAAAATAAGCCAGGGGCGTGGGTGGGAGAGGGGAGTGGGCGGTGGCACAGAAGCAGCCTGGGAACAAGCTGATAACTACTGAACACAGATGACGGGTACATGTAAAAATTTTCCATAATAAAAAGTTTAAAAATTAACAAATGAATAAGCCACAAAAACAAATAGGGAGCCAAACAAGCAGACAGCACTTGGAACCATCTCCGTGACGAACAGGAAGTCCTGTGGGGTCGCTTTCACACGGAGCTTCACTGAACTTGACGGTAAAGTTGAAACCGGCTACTTCTCATCCCAAGCTGTCCACAGGCTGCGTTTCCCAAAGCATGGCCAGATGTTCCCAGATGTCCACACAGGTAAAAATCTCATGTGTTCTCAGCACAGATAAGCTATACGTACCAATAATCTGAAAGGTTAACACATCTGGAAAACGGATGTTTCCTAAACGTAATACAGATGCTCATCTGACTCTGAAAATCTTCCCGAGTCTTAGACGCAAAAAGAAAGTTATCATGATGGTGAAGATACAGTCAGCTTACCCTGAACGAGGAAATGTGTCTCCGATTAAGAGTCTGACTTTCCACTGTGGGTCACGGTGCCGACATCGCCCCGCTGACCTGATGACAGCTGTAACGTCTGGCTGTCCCTACAACTGGGTCATCTCTGTAGTTTACAAAGCACTCGGCTGCGTCATCTCCCCTGAGAACTGACAGCGCTGCCCGAGGCTGAGCCTGGCCGGAGGGCTGTGCTGTGGGCTGCTCAGTGAGGGGCGGGCCTGCCTGGGAGGACATGACCGACCGCAGGCCCGCTGTCCCCCGCTCCAGGCCACCAGCCAGTCCTGGACCTGTGAGGACATAAATGGTTTGCCGTGCAGACCGGAAGGGGCTGTAGCTCCTCTAAGCGCTCGCTGCCCGAGTGCAGGGCCGGCATGGATCCTGCACGCCCACCTCTGTGCACGGGGGCGGCGGGAATGTCACCAGCCTCGGGAGGGAATCCTGCTCGCTTTAGAAAGGCCGCGTATCAATAAAGACTACAAGGCCTGAAATAACCTCATACATGTTTGAAAGCACTCGAAGCAACACTTTCAGGCTAGGTCACATCCCAAACCAGATACGCTGCCTTCTAGCACTTCAGTGATTTTCAACCCCCCAGACCCGCAGCAGGCCGGCACCAGCTGGCAGAAGAGGCCACCACAGGGCAGTCCCGCCCGCCCAGGGGCCCGTGTGTGGGTTAGGCGGCCCCCCTCGCCCCCCAGGGCCCGGGGCTGCGGGAAGGGGCTGGGCTTCAGCGCCGCGTCGGTGTCCGCTGCTGACCCCCGTCTTGAACACGTGGACTCGCACACGCAGGCCGGCCCCGGGCTACACACACGTGTGAGTGCGTGAACACTGTCAGCTGCGCGTGTCAGTAACATCCTACAACATCTGCAACTTCTGTAAAGGTGACTGACGCTCTCACGCACGCAGTGTCCGCGACCTGGAGGGTGACGAAGCAGGAGGCGCAGCCATCTGCGCTGGATCCGGTGTCCGCTGCGCTGACGCAGCATTTCCTGAGCTGGGGCTTGGAGCCCAGGTGCGGGGCTGCGTGCGGAGCCAGAGCCAGAGGCACAGGCAGCAAAGCCGCAGGAAGTGCCCTGGCACCAGTCGGCCAGCTCTCCCGCACACAGTGTCCGCGACCTGGAGGGTGACGAAGCAGGAGGCGCAGCCATCTGCGCTGGATCCGGTGTCCGCTGCGCTGACGCAGCATTTCCTGAGCTGGTGCTTGGAGCCCAGGTGCGGGGCTGCGTGCGGAGCCAGAGCCAGAGGCACAGGCAGCAAAGCCACAGGAAGTGCCCGGGCACCAGTCGGCCACCTCTGAGGAGGCCACAGGCACACCCGGGCAGCCAGCTTTGGTGGCCGGTGGGGTGGGGTGGGCGGTAGGTGGCACAAACGTGTCATCTCTGGCCGCCGGAACCCCCTGCTGGGCACAGACAGGACACTGCAGCTGCCCTCACGGGGAGGGCGCCAAGCAGGGACAGCGGGGCAGCAGGACCTCGACGCACGGACCTGTCCTTCCCTTCTGCTGCAGCCGCCATGACTCCGTGGCTGGGTGACGGCATGTGTCCTTCACAACTCTTCACACGCACAGAGCTGGCCAGTGTCCGCTGGGGGCACACTCGTGGGCTGCCACCTTGCTGGCCCCAGAGGGCAACAAGGCCGGGCCTCGTCGCCACGGGAACCACACCGTCAGCGGTGCCCTCTGGTGGCGGAAGGCCCTGGACAGACTTTGCGCCCTGTTGCTGACGAGGGCATGGGAGAGGGCCAGCGGCTCCAGCTGGGACCGGCAGCTCTATCTGTGTGAGCTACGC